AGGGGCTTTCAGAGTGACGGGTTGATGTATAGCATGGAAAAGCGACGGCGGGGAAATCTCACCGATCCTTCCTTTCTTATGAATATGACCGGGCATTATTCCGATCTTACATTCGCCGGGCTGTGGACAGAAGCAGCAGAGGGGGCATTTACTCCAATCAGCCAGGAACGAGGGTTAAAAACAAGCCGGACACGGCTTCCGGAGAGTCACTAGATGAGGCTCGTTGTCATATTGGCGGATGGGTGGGCGTGTGAATATGTGCGGGGAAGTGGGGGCTCACGTTGATGACGCCAGGGCAGTTGGGCCCGATGAGGCGGGTAGTGCTCTGCCGAAGGAGCCTGTGCTTCACCTTCACCATGTCCTGCTGCGGGATGCCCTCGGTGATGCACACCACCAGCGGCATCTCGGCGTCGGCCGCCTCCAAGATGGCCGCCGCCGCGAACGGGGGCGGCACGTAGATCACGGAGGCCTCCGCTCCGGTGGCCTGCTTCGCCTGGGGGAGTGGGGGCCGGTTAGTTTACACAAGAACTACCAACCTTATAAAACACAAATAGAAGAGGATGTGCCATTACCTCCTTCACGGAGTTAAAAACTGGCATGCCGAGGTGAGTCTTGCCCCCCTTGCCGGGGGAGACGCCCCCCACTAACCGGGTGCCATAGTCCAGCGATTGTTGGCTGTGAAATGTACCCTGGGGAAGGAGAAAGGGAGGGAGAGAGAGGCCTTTCATGAGGGTGACGGATTGAGCGGGCAACGGGGAGCTCTCCTCTGGCGCAGTGCTGCGCTGACCTTGAGATGTTATTACACACGGCAGCAGCCATGATGAGGAAGACCACGGTCGGCCATTAATCACTTGTGTGCAGCCCTGCGGCTGGCAGGTCGCAGGGGATGGGAGACGAGCTGGCCGGGGCAGGTGTGGCGGTACACACACAGACCACAGGGGGCGCCACTTACCAGACAATCAGATTGAACAGAAACAGAGCCTTGGCACCTCTGGAATATGCAATACATGCACTCGTGCATAGCAAACTCTACAAACTAGAGTGTAAGGCAACTGGAAACACTGGAAATAATGCTGAATATGGCTGAAATAAGTGCAAATATAAACAGGACACATTATCTAACCTATTCAAAATATGTAAAACATTGTATAAGCATTCCTATGGTGAAGCATAGCAGTACACACACTAATCACAAATAGCATTGCGTTTAAATGCCTTTATTGTATTTGTCACGCTTCGTGTCACTGTGTCCCACTGCAACAGGGCGGTTCATTTTTTTTTCTTTAAAAAGTATAGAGTTTAGGTCACAGTTTATTAATAGATTGAATGTTCATTTCTAACCTTCCGCATCACAACTGCCTATGTTAATTATTAAAGATGGATGTCGAAACAATAGAGATAAGCAGTATGCAGAGTCAACTAACCCATGCGCAAATCAATGCGCTCTTGAAGGCAGCTGTAATTAGTGACCTGTTAATTGCAAATCAGCACTTTCCTCTTATAGATTATTTTTTTTTTGCCTTCAGCTGACAATCATCCGTCATTCTCTCCGTCCTGAGTGAATAAAAACACTGTCCCCTGTCCTCATACTTCAGTTTTTACACATCTAAAGTGTTTGCCTGACATGGTTAAGAACAAGAAAAAAGAAAAAAGTCATCTATAATGTTTCCTTCTTCATTCCTAAATTAAGTGCCTTTTGGAAACTCAAGGACTGATTGTACTAGGCTGTCATTACAGAAATGCAAGGGATCAAGCGATCAGAATCCTATCACATTGGACAGGGCTGACAACAGAAAATAGGCATCAGTCAGAATCTATTACACCTTCCCTTCTTCCTTGACCAAAGTAGAATTTAAGTTATTAGGAAACTGTTCAATCTCATTAAAAGGACCACTTATGTACTCAAGAATGAGGCATTACATGCAACACTTTTTTAGTAGCATAAACACAAGACAACTTCTTGCTTGATAGTACTGCAAGAGCCTAAAAACTTTAAAATAAGAATATATTTGTGCCAATAAATACAAATATTAAACAGTGATTTTCTGATTCTTGTACACACAAGACGAAGGAGCAGGGGAGTAAAACTTTTCTTCACATAAATTCCTCAAGTTACTAAGTCCCTAAAGAAAGAAATCCGGAAAAAATCTGAAATTAAGAAGGCAAGTGAGCACTTCAGTCAACAACAGCTCTGTAGCAATCATGAGTATTAAAGGGCGAACTGTGATAAACAGGAGTCTATTGCATTCTAAAGATGTAAGTCTGGAGAACAGAACCAGTTACACCAGTGCTGGGGATATGAATTAAGTAGCTTGCACTAGTCATTCGAACTTTGACCAGTAGGGGGTTTGCCAAATGTAGACAAAAACAACTGTGCATCTACAGTAAACACTGAGTAGAGACCTATCGGGGTCCAAGAAAGCATTTAAAGTATTAATACAAACCTGCTTCCCAGTAAAACCTTGGCATATAACTTTAGTGTCCTTATTGATGTAAAGGTGCTGCCGGGATGCACTGTAACAGTGTCTCACTCCATGCTGCTGTACTGCAAACAAGGAATAACAACAAAGTTTTAGTTTTACGCCTCAATATGTATAGGACTGTCTGCACAATAACAGCAGCCTTGATTTTTATATCACTTCAACCCCACGATAAACCAAAGTATGACATAAACCAATGCATTAATCATTCAGCTGAGTCAGCTCTCCAAGCAACCCTAAACTAATACCTTTTCAATGCTTTTATCGCCTCAAAAAACCTGATTTCTAAATGACTGACACTGGAAAAACAAAAGCACCCTAGATAAACTTACTGAAAAGCATGGCTCGATCTGTAGGATTTTACAGAGACGATCACATGCCCTATGACTCTGTACCAAGATTTTTGTTTCCAAGAAAAAGAGTCCAAGGACTTAATAGTGATGTACACCGATGTATATGCAAACAGTTGGATTGAGCAGTCAGCCTGGATTGTAGGCAGGTAATTTCCACTAAATATGTGAAAGAAACAATGCCCGCAGCACACACTGCATTTCTTTCTAGGGCCGGATGATCTACGTATATTGAACCTTTGAAGTACAGTATGTAAATTGCAGTTTGAACGTCTGCCTATTCAAGTTCCCAATTCCAGTTGCATGATCAATCCAAAAAGGACAGATGAATAACGCATCAATTTCACGCATAAGAACAAATACTCAACCCTTACTGCACAGTATAACGTTAAAGTGGGGCAAAGTTCGTGTCTGGCCTACGATCAATACTGTATTTTGGGATCCTGTACTTTGCTACAGGTAGGGATCAAAGCAGCCGGCTCAGTAAAGAAAAGAATTGCACAGATACGACACAGGTGTATAAAACAAGCGCTAGCAGATTTTCATTTTTAAAAAGAGGCAGTGTACTTTAACAGCGAGCTGAGAAGGAATATAAGATAGACTCACAGAACAGCCGAGCGAACAACCTGCTGTGGGACATCTTCGGTCACTTACCAATGACACGGCGGCGGAAGGACCTTAAACGTCAGGCGGCGTGGCTGTCTAAAAAAATGCCTGACGGAAAAAGACGCGTAAACCCCGCTCTCTTCCTATTGGTTGACCTTTAGACTCAGATTCAGCTTGAAAACATTCCGCTGACACGTGAAACATTCGTTTAGAGAAACGTCTGAGAGTAAAGCTTAGTCGCAACACTAGCTGCAGTGCAGCCTACGCAGCTGACTCGTGGACAGATTTAAAATTTAACTTAAAATAGAAATTAGCTGGGGTTTCTGAGGGATTAGTTAGGAAAATCGACAAGGAATTTTCGCCAATTTTACAGTTACCCCTAAAGGTCCGTTCATTTCTTCTTCTTCACTGGAGTTTTAACCCTTTCAGGCTCAAATTGAGTTTTTGTTGCTAAAGGACAACCAAGACCTGCAGTGGTACTTTTGAGTAAAAAAAACTCATAAAATATGTATCTGGGGTAATAAGGTAGTTAGTTAGTTGCAAATCAGCAACGCCAGCCTTGAGAGGGTTAAACGGAACTCAGACCGAGAAGTGCATAGTGCCTCCTACTGAACGTACTGTAGAGACAGGTGTAAGTAGTAATAAGTCCGTGCGGCATTTTTGTTGCCATTCCAAACACGTGACAATCATACAACAGTCCCGCTGTCAGTGATCTCTCTTGCCTCCTAGTACAGTATGTGACATTTATAGTTGTACTTTCAAATTCCACAGTGTGGGCGAGGAGGGTGTGGGACAACATGGACACCCACGTCACCGCTGATCCCATCCTATTTATAGCCATTGTATTTATATTTGCATCTTGGAAGCTAACCTTTGAGTCAGCGTTTCATATTAAAGTGCAGCACGTGACTGCTGTGAACATAAAAAAGTTGAAACGTTTCTCATGTAAAGTAATGAGAACTGAACAGATTTTGATACCCAAACGGTACACAACGAACACAGCCAATATAACCGATTATTGTGGTTCGGTTATGTATAACGTATTAAAACTAGACGTCTGCTTTCTTGTCTATGCCCGAAAAAGACGTGCAATTATGTGTTGCCAAGAACAAATCTTCGCTCTTTTGACCTTCCCATTGGAAATTCCCAGCGAGCTATATTTATCCAAACTGAACACTGCACTTCAAACAGGTCATCCTTCAGAATAACTTGTTAACCAGTAGTTCTTCGGGCAAAGGAGCAGTGACGATTCAAAGGAACGGCCATTATTTCCAACCGTATATGTAAATTATAGTTAGTCTTAAATACTGAAAAGCAATCCTAATTATAGTGCTAAACGCATTTTTATGTTTTTAAACATTTTAGAGCGGGAAAATGCGCAAATGGACGTCTTAAATCATATCTTGACATGAAATAACCCTCCCAATCGCGTCCAGTGAGAACTTTCAAACTACCGACGTGACGTCAACCCATTCTGACCAATTAGATGACACCAGCTCTCTCAATACCCATTGGCTGCCTGCCGCTTTGTCACGTGAAAGAGACGCCATTATTCACCAACCATTTACGTCACGTCGTTAATTTCCGCAGAAGTATTACGGCCTTCAGTTACGCTACCGAGACAACGCAAAGTCCGTAATAGGGCCACCCCAGGAAATATGCCCACTGCAACGAATTAAAAGCTGTTCGCATGTTCAGTTCAAGATGGTGCTAGAAAGCATAGCGAGGATCATAAAGCACCAGCTTCCAGCCTACCTCAAAAAACTGCCGCTGCCTGAAACTATCGGAGGCTTTGCGCGTTTAACGGGTATGTTCATTGCATTTCATGTCTGTTATTGCCAACTAGGAAAAAATCATAGGCGAGTTACAATGCACTGTTATCTAACCGCTCTCAGCTGAACAAATTGAATAACTTTCTTGATTTGTGCCTTTTTATTCCAGATCAGAAACATTCGTTATTATAAAGGTAGTTTTTAAATGCAATAATTTCCTTGAAATATGCCAGTGCATTGGGGGCTCTTTAAGGTAGAGCCAGCGTTATTTGCAAAAAAGACAGTCATTATTATCCTTGGTGTGTTCTACAAAGTGAAACATTTTGCAGAACCGGTTTTCTTTTCTCTCCTGATTGGGAGTACCTTGTTACATTTCATTAGCTTATATTAGAAAGACATAAAAAAAAAGTTTAGAAATGTCCCACCACCTATAGGTCACACATCAGAGCTTTAAGTTCTTTAAAATGGTTTAGAGGAAGCAGCACACATCATTGCATTGGTATAGATTAAGGTTATGATGGTGGGCTACGTGCGTCTTTTAAAGGTTATGTTGTTTGATAAATAACGTAGCTCTTAGACGCTCTGAGTCAGGACCAGCGCTGTTTGACTCAGAGTTTACAGTGATGACAGCCTTATGAGGATTCTGTCGATTACTGCAAGCTAGACCTATAAGGGGGGTGCCAGTGTGTTATTGGGTTGCAATCCTAAGTGATGCAGCTGGACAGTTAACTAAGCGCATGGTGAAATGGATTTCATCCGATACTGCCTGCTTTATTTGGATACACTCTATAGAGACATATACCATGTTTTACGTTATTAATATTGTTATGGGTTCCTAATCACACATGCTTGAAACAGTGCTGACGGCAGAGGGACCTGACTGTTCTTCAGTCTGTTTTGGTAGTAAGCCTTGCATGATGGTGGTAACACTCAAGTTGCACTTCATACTCACTGTCTGCCAGTTGTTTGTCAGCCTGGATCCGTTTTCGGGTGACCGGTCGTTTGCAGATGTAGTGCAATCTCAGCGATTCCCTCAAAGGCTGCGCTACATTTATCTCCGTTGAGGTATATAATTGTGCAACAGCATGATCCTGCAGTTTTTACATTATGAGAAATTGTCATTGTTTTGTGTACCCGTCCCGAATTACCACATTTTCATTCTGTGAGAATAGGATCTGACATTTTGCAGAACTAACAGACTGAGTGTTGATGAAAGGTAGCAAGTCACTAGTATTACTGATAACCCCAAAAACTGTTTTGGTGGTTTTTAAAACATTTCTGACTCATGTAGCTTTCCTGAACATTGCAGGAGTCACACAGCATACTGTATTGCCTCTCTTTAGGCGGTCTGAAGTGAAACTGAGACAATTTATGTTTAATTGAAGTGACTCTGCCCACAGCGTTTTTGAAAATGGGCAGCGAGAGCAGATTAGGGTTTGGTGCGAAGGGTGGGTCACGCCTGAACGACTGGTGTGAAGTTTGTCCTCTGAGTGAATTTGACTTGTGCAGCCCTGGTAACTCGGGGTCTGCATAAAAACTCCCAGGCTGTCATGAAAGACTTTGTACTTCCTCGCACTTTTGACATGGAGCCGCCTAAGAATCTCCTCTCGTGGTTTTCAGTGTTTATCGTGCTATCGCTGAGCCCCTTCTCCCTGAACACGCTTCCCCAGACCTTTAGCATAGGCTAATTACTGACCACTTTGCCAACAAAAGTGTCTCGAACCCGGACGCTCACTACCTGCCTACTTTCAGTTTCAGAGTGGCTGCGATTGCTCCCCGTCCTGGGAATCCTGGCCTTGCTGGGCTACCTCACCATACGGCCCTTCCTACCCAAGAAGAGGAAGCAGAAAGACAGTCTGATCAACCTGAAGATCCAGAAGGAGAACCCCAAGGTGGTCAATGAGATTGACATTGAAGACCTGAAAAGCCCGAGTGCTTGTTACTGCCGCTGCTGGCGCTCTAAGACGGTAAGAGGCTGTGGGTCGGACCTCAGAACATACAGGGAAAGGTAACAGCGAGCTAAATGAGCTCTGCCTGATTTCCAGCTTTTCCACGGTATTCCCATTCAGTCTTGGAAATGGGGCTTGGCTAGTCAGTCACATTCATTAATTACCATTTGTTTTGTGAGAAACTAGAGCGCGAGGGTCTGACATGTTGGGCTCCCCAGAGTGCTGTTAGTCATCCTCCATTGGCTGTTCGAGACACGTTGCTTGTTTCCTGTTCCAGTTTCCCGTCTGCGACAAATCTCACATAAAACACAACGAGCTGACCGGCGACAACGTGGGCCCCCTCATACTGAAGAAGAAAATTCTATAATCCACGCTGCCGAGTGGAGAGGCGGTGCAGCCGTAAACCCCGCGTCCTAGTGGGAGGTACTTGTAGTTCTTGCAACCTTTAGGGAGGGGCCAAGTTTTCCATTTCCTGTTTTTTTTTTTCTTGCTAGATTAAATACATATAAAGCATGTGCATTTAGACTTGTACAATATTGTGCAGAGATAAAAAAAAACCTCAGAAAAGGAAGTATGTCCTTAACTACTCAGAAATGCTCTTATTTAAACGGCAGCATTGACTTTTGCTTTTATTTACTGTTAAATGAGAACGGGTGCACCCCGTACGCATGAGGATGCTGTTACGGCCTCCACTCTCACCCGCCTGTATTGCCACTGTAACTGGAACCTGCTTTCCATCTGATTTGTATTCCAAAACACCAGGGCTTGAGAGTTGCGGCCTGGAGATACGGAATTGGCATCTAATCGAGGCCATGGACGTCTCGAACCAAAACGCTTATGGATCAACCGGGGGATGCTAAGCTGAATTTGCGCTACTCCGCGTTTGTGTGATCCTGAGTCGGTCTTTACTCTAACCCATTTGATTTTTATTTGCACCGGAATTATATTGGATATTTTTTTTTCTGTGTGTGTGTGTGTTTTATTTCCAGTAAGTTCTGTATCTTGGTTATACATTGGGACCACATTTGGTAGAAAAGGAGTAGATGTATCATAATTCTTAGTTTGTAGTCTGTTCAGGGGGCTTTCCGCTGTCGAGCTGAATTTGGCTGCCCTGTTTTTCGTGTTTTCCTTCATTCCGTCTCCCTCCTTCCGCGTGGAACGCTGGATCTCACACTTTACTAATACGCGACGGAAATGCCACCGGTGACCGAGCCGTCTGCTTTCAGCGGGAATTCCGCGGCGTTGGTCACCATCCTGCAGCCCCCGCGCTCAATCTTCTTCTCATGTGTCCCTGAGAGAAATAAATCTCCAGCTTCGGTTTTTAAAGTGTCTGTTTTTCTTACTACATTTTAAAAACAAACGATACAATGAAGAATATGTACATGAGCTGACTTGTCCTCGTTCCTTTGAAGGGGATTATTCCTAATAAAAAAAATTGCACCACTTTAGGGAAAGGTGTGCTTCAAAAGAGCACGATTCGATTACAGTAACGTTTAAGCGAAGCTTTTTTTTTTTGTTGATCATTCATTCCTTTTATATCATCACACAAAAAATTATGTACTCAAATGTTTCTCACAGAACCATTTAGTGATCAGAATAATGCGCCTCAGCTTATCGGTATGTGTAGAACATGTGACCTTTATCTGTGAGAGCCTAGCAGAAGGTCACGGTGATGTTGCATTAACTGTTACTGTCATTCCTACATTAGTGCTGGGCTATGTTTTTGCTGTGATGTGTGTGGGGGGGGGTCCCTTGTTTGTCATCCTGGCTTTCAGAGCCAGGGGTCATGCCCCCCCGCCCCATTCTGTTTGTGCCCAACGTGTCACGTTAATCGTGCTTTGAGGTATTTTCACATGCGAGTGCGTCGCCGCTGGAGAGTTGACCACACACAGCCTGTGTGTGGGATGGTCTGACTAAGCGTGTGACTAAGCGATTCGGTGAATAAATAATGTTCTGTTACAAAAAAAACATATTTTAGCCCTGCTAAAAGTTAAAATATGACCAAAACGAGGGAGAGAAACCAGTACAAACAGCATCCAGGGTGTCAGGATATACACCTAAAAATAAAAGCCATAGTTTCACTGAAAAATTATTTTATCTGTTAAAAAATATAAACAACTTTTCAGATATGGGTAAAACCCTGCTCTCTAAAATGGGTGGATCCTCCACATCTGGAGGGGTGTGGGGGTGGTCTACCGGGCAGGATTTCTCAGTTAGATGGGTTACCGTAAGCTAGAAGTCATTACTGGCCAATAGGAGTGCTCCTTACTTGAACTCTTAGCAAGAAAACATGCCAACTGTAAGGACTGTCCAATAGGAGTGTCACTTACCTCTCCTCTTATTGGACAGTTTTTATGTTTGACATTCTTATTGGATAGTCCTTATATTTGGCTTGTTTTCTGGCTAAAGACGACATCCTGCTTTGTGGCGTACCCCACAGGTCTGTAGTTGATGTCGTAGCTCATGGGTGGAGTGGAGTGGAATAAGGGGGAGGAGTCACTGCCTTGTACGCATGTGACTATCCTGCATAATTACCAGCAGCTTTAGAAGTCATTTGTACAACGACAATGTTATTTATGTTGCATTCATGGACCTGATAGTTATGAGGGATAGGGGCTGACCGTAACTATGCCGATGGCTGTGTGTGTCTGTCACACCGTCCATCCTAAACCTTGCCGATGGCCCAGTCCTCTTTCCAGGCAAACACATTTGGTTAATCTAACAGGAAGTTTCCTGGTGATCTGTAAACCCAGCTGGCCCACAAGGCTGCCATTGTCCCAGGCGTCACTCTGCCGGCCTGCGGATGCAAATTGTACCCCCGCCATTCTCAGAAAGCCCGTCCAGAGGCGTTCATATCGCACATGCTAATATCGGCTCGCAAAACAAACCGGGGGGGGGGGGGGTGTTTACAGGCGTCGCCTCGTGTGGAGCCACGGGAGGTTTGCGGGAGGGGGCTGGTTAATTTCCAAAAATAAACGCTATGTTTTCAAGCCGTGCCTTTTTTTATCACCCACGATGTTTTCATGTTCTGATCAGAAGTGAAGACAGGGAAGCCAGCGAACGTTAGCAAACGACATAGCAAGCAGTTCACAAACATGGTGTCGTGTTGGTGATATTTTCCTGTTAATCGTGTGTAATCTGCTCCATGGTCATCAAAAGGTTTTGAGCTCGTGGCCTTGAACCCGAAGCCAATGAACAGAACCTTCAGGAGCCTATAATCGGGCAGAGGGAATTAAGTGAAAGGCTGCGGGTTGCAGTCCTAGGATGGAGGGTTTATTGTTTCTGGAGTCCCATTCTAAAAGTCACTTTGGGGCCGCAGTGTAGTGATGGTTTGTGGCCAACAGGGGGCCCCCAAACCAGCTTTTTCCTTAGCAGTCAAACCACGACGTCTCGCCTACAGCAGCTGGATCCAGTGTCTTATTTCTGGCTCTTTCAGTCCAAAGAGCAAAGGCTACAAGATGTCCCAAGTCCGGCTCATTACATCCTCCACACAGACGAGGGTGGGGGGGGGGGGGGGGCACAGGACTGGGGGAGGGGACATGTATTCCTGAGCGACCGTGGACGTCTGGCTCAGTGCGGGGCTGACGTCAGCAAACTGACATGTTATTGTTCATTTTAAAGACGCTGGCGAGTGGGAGGATTTTGCCTCCAGGCAAAAAGTATTTCAACATCAGGAAGACCCCCATTTCCGACCCGGGACAGGGCACGGTTAAGAAAATAGACATTTAGATCTGAATGTGAGGGGGTCCTGCTGTTGTACCCTTATGAAACCTAACTTTTCAGTAAATATAAAGCCATCTGTGAATAATGCAGTGAAGCCATCAGCTAAAGACAACTTCTCATTTTCGATTAAGTACAGTTCACAGTGTGAACTGCGCCCAGAAACGCCACAATCAGGCGCACTTGGTATGGGGGAGGGGCTGACTTTTGACTCCGCCCAGCCCCCGTCCCAGTCAGGGAGGGCAGCAGCATCCTGCAGAGGGCACCAGAGCTGAGGGAGCTGACCACTGCGCTGCCGAAAATGGCAAGAATGCAGGCCGGCGACCAGGAAGGGGGAGGGTCAAACGCACACAGGCGGACCTGCTGCTCCTTAGAGCTCGGCATTTAAATATGTGCAGTGCTGAGTGGTATCTCACAGCATGTAGGACATATGAAGGGGTAAATGAATGGATGAGAGCATGAATGAATGACATCACTGGGGGTGTGGCCCACAGCAGTGGAGTGAGGGCCTGCTTACCTGATCTTCACTGGGGAAAAATCAGAGGATGATGCCCTGGAGGCACAACCAAAGGCCACGCCTCCTATCACCTCCAGCCCCCCCCCCCCACCCCACTGATATCCTGGCTGAAACTGCCCACTGTGGCCCTATCAAATCTGGCCTCCTAATCATGAGCACAGGCGTCGGTCTCGTAAACCGAAGATCGTGGGTTCGAACCCCATCCGTGCCTTTAGGTGGGTGGCTTAATACACTTGTAATTAAAAGACTGTTGGTTCAAATCCCCAACCAGCAAGGCACCACTGAGGTACCCTCAGTAAGGTTCCATAATGTCACATATGGGTTAAATGGCAGAGGACACATTTTGTTGCTGTGCGCTGTGGTGTGTCAACAATGACCACTGATCACCTAATTCTAAATTTCCACTATCTAATGTGAATTTTCTGCTGCCCCTTCCCCACTGGGTGGGTGGGGGCTACACAGTGTTGGGAAGTGGCTCCTCTTTGGTTCTGTAAAGCACTTAGGGGTGTCTTTAAAAGCACTGTGTAAATGCAAGTCATGGGTTCCTTATATACTTTACTTTAAAAGTATATATATATACATATATATATATAATAAAAAATAATAATAACTAGCTATACTTTTTGGAATATGCTTATTTTTTATCACAAAAGTCTTAGAGCAAGTCTTAGAGTGCCGACGCAAAACGAGGCAGATGCATTCATTCTGTGTCTAACCTCCAAATAATTGCACACGGTCTAGTTGAGCCTTATGCCCCCTGTAAAGTTTTCCTCCCATTCACTTCCGCATTTCACCACTAGGGGGAGATGACGGTGGATGTACAATGTAACGGATGATTTACATATTCTGGCTTTATCAGAATCGTCTCGAAAATAGTGTTTTTTGTATGGGCTCAGATTTGCCCAGTACATCTCTATTTTCTCTTCAATAAGGCCACACGCAACTCCCTCTAGGCACCCTGACACCTAACCTGTTCAACCTGTCGCCCTATTCTCTTAGTTTCAACGTGAATAAACGTGAACCCCACACAAGCCAATTGTAGTCCTTTTTGTACCCAAACAGGTTCTACTCAGGTGACTCCGAACCACCCAAACTCAATTTCAGTTATCGGCTGCTCCAGTTGTGTCATCTATTGTAATCTATTATAACCACCTATTATATTTAACAGCAGTTCCATGTTATGGAGGCGGGCTTTCCCCCAGCCCCGCCCATTTCCAGGAGCAGTCTGTGCCAGCGGCAAAGGCCACCCCCAACTTGAACCTTGAGTCAAGAGCGTGGGGGTGGAGGGACTCACTCCAGGACGAAGATGATCCTCTCCATCAGTGACTGACGCATTAATCACGAGCAGCGAGTCCCACCTCAAACGCGATTTAGTAAAAGCAAGCGCGTTAGAAAAATTTACGGTAAATCAGCACTGGAACAGGGAATTGCAAGTAAAAACTCATGCATTTTATAGTGACAAGATTTAATGGTTTATGCAACCTGTTCTCGGGAAAATACGAGCAACTAAACGCGCGTGCTATCGTTGAGTCCCCTACTAACGATATGCATGCTTGTCATACTGTAGGTTTACGTACTGCAATACGCCTACACCGAATTATTTTTAAGGGTTCATTGGTAAATGCTGCCACCACCTTTTTCCTGATTTCACTGGGGAGATCCAGACACACGAGAGAGTAATACAGAAGGTGTTTTTTTTATTAATACATTTAGCTGAGAGCTACAGTCTTCTACAGCCTTCCAAAATCAACGGGAGATTATGTGTTATTAATCATGGCAGTGGGTCCCACAACCAGTACGGGTACAATTAACACAGCGGACTAATTTCATTGGCTAGGAAAAAGCCTACGTACTCCGTGTTAAAAGTTATCCCCCGTACTCTCGCTTCCCGCCCTCTACACACGCTGGCACAGCTCTGTTAAAATAAATAAAATTATCAACTCGCATTCACAGAAAGACCCTCCCCCCCCGCGTCTGTCTCTTTTTAAAACCAAACCCCCGCCCCTCTTCAGGTGCAACATCAGTTCCCACGGAGTAATGACTCTGAGCGCCGCTCACTATAATACATTTCTAATCCCTTTACTAATTACAATAGTGATCCCAAGCCTATACAGCAGGCTATACGCTGGTGACAGCTCCTCTCGCGTCTTGGTTTTTGAGTACCCTAAATATAATTTTACCCTGTAATCCACTTTTAATTTCAAGTCCAATTAAAATCCATTATTAGGAAATAATACTTTATTGAAGATAGGAGAAGCTTCTAAACATCTTTGGTTTTGCTCATGAATGCAATTAGGTTTTTTACTTAATTATGCATTACTCGTTTGTAGCCCTTGGACAAATAACTATGACAAATTATGCAATATATTTATAATAATTTCATAATTATGTTTGTTTAAAAAAACAGTGAAGAAATATAAATTATTAACGCAAATATGTCATTTAGATTTTAGCGTGAGTAATCTTGGTAAAATTAACATCACGTTTGCAAATCCACGCGATCATCTCACGTTATTAATCAGGAGATCTGCATATACCGTGCATGTGGGACAGGGTTGGGAGACGCTGTTTTTACCAGTTTAGCTAGATAACTGATATACTGAGTACTCTGACAATATCTGGGGCCATTCTTCTGCTGTCACCGTATCTGTAGCCACGATTTTTAAAATGTCGAGGTCCAAGTGTGAGCCTTGTCTGTCATCTTGAGTATGTATCCAGCCCCGTACCGATACAGTCCGCATCGATCTCACCATATTACTTTTTAATTGCAAGATCGACAGAAAATGGATACAGGTGATTGTTTTCTGTAAAAGCTAAAAGCTTAATATTCTACACTCTTATATAGCGCCTTTAAATACTGAATGTATAGCCTACATGCTATCAATATAACAAACGCCATCAAATTGTCTACTTGCTGTACAATAATTATTAAATCCTAAGTCAACTGCGACACGTGCTTCTAACTAAAACTTTTTTTATGTTCGTTTTTTCAGTCCCCTAAAAAACGCAAACATCAACGTAAATATGCCAATAGAAAGACGGGGCAGGTAGACCGACAAAAAAAAATCGAAATTAAGGTCAAGATTGCCAGATCCTGGCAAAATATCCAGCCCTTTCCGTTCTCTTTCTTTTTTAGGTCTGCAGGTTTCATCATGTAAGTAGGATGGAAAAAAACCATTACATCCCCAAGGACTTAATATTTAGTATGCAATACGCAGAATAAAGGCAAAAGCATTAGGCATTCTTATTTATAAAAGCATAAAATGACCACGATAATTATTCTGATTGATGTTTATGTCCAGTGAACAATTAGCCTTTTCCTTGACATGCCCTGGCTTATTAGGAATATTTAAAATATTTATAGGGTGCTCTGAGCGTTTTGAGTAAACACGATACATTAACGGTCTAATTTAGACTATATCTAGACGGTAGAAGTTTCACATGAACTGCATGGTATTCTGCTCACTGAAAAGTCCCCAACGCGGCCCAAGGGGCAGAAACAGCATCCTTTCCAACAACAGATGTTTCTTTTGTAGCAGCAGACTACAGCTCCAGCTGTTTCGCAGGCAAAGATATAAATATGATGCTTCTTTAACCTGCGCAGCCCCAGAAGCTTAATTTTCTCTCCTAGGGTTTAAATCCCAATTAAAAAGCAATTAAATAAATCATGGAAAATTGGCTGGCGACAAGCTCATAATTCCGTAGTTCAGTCATTCCAGGGAACACCTCTGCACATCTGCCGATGCTTTCACACGCCCGCGTAGATTAAAAATGGCCCCCCAGAAACCCAGCATCGGCCAAGCTTTGTTGGCTCTGACCAAAAGATCGATTACATTTCACAGTAAAGTCCCTTTTAAATCTCACATGAACAAAACAAGGGCTTAGATACCTTTTATTAAGCAGTTTACATTTCCGGTAAATTAAGGGAGAACATGTTCCAACAGAAAACACTTAATCTTCTGGAAAATTCATTCGAATTTCATTACAGTCCGTTTGGTGATCATATGAGAACATCCAGCTCAACAAATATTGGTCCATGGAAATAATCTGCTTTTTTGACTGTGATTGTTTTATTCCAAAATCAAATGTTGAGTTTAACATTTTATGTTAGTGCACCAGAGGTGCTAATGCACTGTTAGCATGTCAGACTAGTTCACCCCCAGATCAGGGCATGTCCACAACGAATCCATCACATGCTCCATCCTCCATCGATGATCTGCTCCGTCCCAGTGATGAAAGCAGACTGAAGGAGGAAGCATCCATCTCGTAACCAGACCTCATACTGATATGCATCGCAAAAGCACTCACCAGATCAGGTCATAAGTGTGTTTGATCTGCTCTTTAACCCCCCCCCCAGGTGTAAGATCACATGGTTCACTCCGGTGTGGGAGCCACACCCACCTCGTCGGCGGCCAGGTACACACAGAGGTGCGCCACCTCCTCAGCTGTACACATCCTGCCCATCTTCTGCCGGGCCAGGAAGTCTCTCATGGCCTGAGGACGCATGGAACGCAGCCCAGGGAACTGGGTCAGGACTTGGGTTCGAGTTGTCTGGCTGTAACCCTCAACAGACAGCTGAACAGATGACTCTGACCAATATCAGGACTTGTAGGCATTGCTAGGCCATGCTACACTACACTACAGTGCCGTTAAAGACGTAAGACTCCATTAAGCCAATTACACACTTTTTAACACATCATGGACTGAACCGTGTCAGACGTTTTAATGCCAAGAAGCCTAGTGATTGACTACAAAGTGACAGACCTGCTCAGGGTCCGGCCGGGCCTGGATCCTCTCTCTCAGTGACGGGGTATCTACAGTCCCTGTTGCCAACAAGGAAACATTTGTAAGTAGTGATATTTAGTCTTAAAGGCTTTTTAGAGCTCAAAAATACTACATTCAGCGATGATTTAAAAAGAACTGAATTAACAAGGAGAGCCCTGCTTTCTCAGTGTGAAATACATACTTCTGGGGGGAAAAAAATAGAGTTTACCGGGACAGATGCAATTACAGCGGATTCCTTGTTCGATGAAGTCGGCTGCCACTGATTTGGTGAGGCCGATGATAGCGGCCTTGGAGGTGCTATACGCACACCTGTTCACCACACCTGCAGAAGGGAAAGGGCCGTATTTTACCACGGTAAAGACATGGCTTCAGGATGTACAGTGCACAAGATCACTGTCACTGATCTGAAGATGGACAGAACTCACAGGCCTTCCAGAGTAACTTCCCTAGTTTCGTTTTACCCCAAAAACTCCAAGCACACAACTATTGACCAGCCCAGATAGGTTACGGCTAGTTAAATTAATCACTGTTCTGTTTACCGCGTGGCAAACTAACCAGAACTAAAGAGCCGCTCTCACCCTTTATGCTGGACGCAACAGACGCCATGTTGATGATATTCCCAGATTTCCGAGCCAGCATCTGCGTGGACAGACCAGTCAGAGAGGACGTAGGAATATCCGGCAGAGTAACTCAGGAGAATCTGTGCCTACATGGGTTTGTTAAGCAAACTGGACCTTAGGTAGAGTTTATCACTTATTAGCAGGTACTGAAATCAGTTTATATTTCTTTCACTGCGGATAGCTTACAGTTTACCCAGGAATAATGCTGGAAATGACCTCTCCCAAAATATGAGCCAAACATCATATTATAGGGACATGGGTCTTTTAGTGAAGTTCTACCTTGGGCAGGAAGACTTTTATCATCAGGTACATGCTGCGAACGTTGAGGTTCATGGTGAAATCCCAGTCCGCCTCTGCGCAGTCCAGGATGGACCCATGATGGACAAACCTGGAGGAGACGTCATTAAACGCCAACAGAGGGGACATGCTAGACAAGATGCCAGTCGGTCATGAGGCACAATGCAGGAGACACCTTGGATGGGATACAAAGTCTATCACAATTAAGAGATACCAGATAACCTAGCTGGGGTGGAGACTCAAAACCTGGTCTCCAGAGGTATGAGGTCACCATGATCCTTTCTTCATGTAGTTTTACCTAATAAAGTGCTCACTAAGTGTTCATACAACACCTCACATGTTCTCCAACCCGTTTCAGCATGGTAACCATACCCAGCAACATTGAACAACACGTCAACGTGGTCAAACTCCTTAGCAAGAGCTTCAATCTGATCCCTCTTGGTTACATCAACAACCCTGGTCTTGATGCCTGTAGAACAACAAACGAGATTTCATAAATTGTCCAGACATTCAAGCAAGAACACATGATGCAGTTTGGATGTTGAATAGCTGGACCAACTTGTCCACAGTGTAAGTAAACTTTGAGGACTATTTAACGGAGACTAGGTAAAGAAAACCAAGACCCAGCGCATTAATGGACTGCAGCGCCATCAGACACTTCGCGATTTTCATTATTAATGTGGCACAATAATGTCCACTAGATGGCAGCACACACCCACACAATTAAACACCATAATCAAATTCAGAGATCACCTGGGTAGCTGGCCAGTTCCTTCAGCTTTTCCTCGTTAATATCGGTGGCGGTGACCAGCGCGCCCTCCCTAGCAAAGGCCTGCGCATAAACAATAATCCTGTTACTGACAAATGGGGAAAAGCACAAAAGTTAAGACTTAATATGTGTTTAAATGCATGAAAATCTAATTTTCCCTCGGGCTGCTAATAAGTTTTATCTATCCATCGAATAAACACAGGTCAGGCAGGAATTCGTTTCCTTACGGGAAAAATTTCACTCTTTGCTCGTCCAGAATTAACAAGTAATATAATTACATTATACCGCGAAATGTCCTTTATTAGAACACTACCTGCTCAACCTGCATGAATCTAAACGTTTTCCTTTGCTTAGCGACACTCAAATCACGTGTGGGTCCCCCGAGGACTGAGGGCCCCCTTCTGGCCACAGACCGTCACTACACTAGGTGAGGCGAGGGACCCCGAAAGGATTTTTTTTTTTAATGGGGCCCCAGAAACAACGAATCTGCCCCTGCTTAAAAGCATTTATTAATACTGAAAAAATGTGTATTACGTTTACTGCGCACGGTTAAATGCTGGTGTTAATGTTAACTGATAACGAGTGATGTTAAAGCTAAAACGATTTTTCCACAGCCATTATCAGCAATTACGATGCTACGATTTCAGCGTTTAAACACAATTAACTATACAATCTATAATTCTTATGAATGATAGAGATTGACGGACTATTATAGAGTGAATCAATTAACGTTACACACATAACTTCTTTTTCATTCCAAGTGAATCGGAAAACATCTGTCCCACGAGAAGGGATCGAGGGATGGGGGCTCAGGGGTAACTGCAGAAAGGCTCAGAGATACCGCTGCAATCACACGCTTTAACACAAAAGCCGTGGTTTGTAGCTTGAGAATTAGCGACCATTCACTGAATGCAATTGTCACACGGGTGAAACGGTGTAGTTTTTTTTCAATCAATATATTCAATTACAGCCAAAAGTGGAGGCAAAGGTAATTACAAAACAAGCATTAAACGCGCCTGAAACTCTGCATCGCTGCAGTAACAGTGTCTGTTTCATTGTGGCAAATGTGAACAGCAATAGCAATACCTATTTTTTGTTACAATGACTGACATTCTATTTATTGCTCTATGCTGCACTGCTGCTTGTTTTTCACCGTCCCGATTTAACGAAGAGGCCCACTCGTGATAAGAAACCCTTAAACTTGACACAGTACGATGGCCGCAGCTCTTCCGATGCCCTGGGCGGCCGCCGACATCACGATGACTTTCCCTTCCAGCCGGCCCATCGCGCAGCGCGGGATCTGCTTAGCTGGGTGAAGCAAACTGCGACAACGACAACGATTTCATCACTTTCAGCCGTTCAGCAAAGTTTATTCATTTCTTGTCTGCGTGTTTCTTCTCAGATTTCTACATGTTCGTATTCAAGAGTGGGTGATGAGAGATCATCTCCAACATATTCATGATACATACACTATTCATGATATAAATACAATGAATTCTCCCATTGCTGTTAATTTCGTGTTAAAACGAAGCCCTCCCTCACAGCAGCCTGGCTATGGACTCTGTCCTTGTTACAGCTTCAGACTGACATGATCAGCAGCGTGATCCGTACACTAAACTGCACAGATTAACACTTACTGTAGGGGGAAAGTTAATAGTTAACAAGTTCATAAATTTTGCCGCTCGTGATATTTGTTTAGTGTAACTGAGCATTCGGAAATTTAAAGAACTTATGAAAGGATAGTCACGATGAAAACGTGAATATTTGATTTTACTTATAATGTAAATATTGAAACTGAGTACCCAGCGTCATTAATACTGTTTAAAACACTATTTAGTGTAGCGAAAACTAGGCTATTTGGCCAGAATGGTGAAAAAGATAACTGTTTAGTGTGAAGGCTACTCTCCGTAGAAAGTAAAATACTTAGGACTTCCAAATATGGACTAGCTGTCACGCATTTTATACTCATTCAAATAATATCTGATTCATATGATCAACACGCAAATCCCTATAGCCTAGTGGTCATTCAATGAAGTGAACCAAAGTGCAGGAACTTCAAAGTCATACGATCATCACCTTCTTTACGATATCTAATAGGATCTGGTGTCCTGTACGTGTAAACAAACGGCCCGGCACAAAAGGCTCCAAATAAACAGCTTACCTCTGTCACACACACTCACACCCCCACGCTGCCGGATCCGCTTTAGGTGTCTGACTGCGGAAGGGAAACCTATCGCCCCTCCTCCGCTTCCTCCATCTGACCCGCCAAATGCACCCGCCACTCAAAACCTGCACGGAAACGCCGATTAATGCACTTCTCTGGTTTATACTCTCCCCGTGCATGAAAGTTAACGTCTTCTGAATCGATTGCATGCCTTTCCCTTCTTTCGTAACCGGTGTGGCAGAAACGCTTTACTGATATTTGAAAGGACTCATCATCTTTTTAGACGCGCAAAGTCTTTGTTTACAAACAGTTTTTATAATCACTTGATTGTTATAACCGCTATGTATGATTGACCTACACTGTCATACTTATCTACCCCTTACCTTCTGACCTCATAGTTATGACTCCACCCCTACATTATCTTGAACACGTTATTATTATTATTTTGCATGTTTTGATGGATTCGTTTCGCTATGGATGACTAAGGATTAACCACACAAACTGGACATCTGTGTTATTTGTGTCTGTTTGTCTGTCAGTGTGTTTGTTTGTTTGTTTGTTTGTTTGTTTAGTGCCCAGCCAAACACACAATTTAACAAAACTAATTAAAATAATGTAATTCCTTATTGGGCCCGATATATCCTGCAGGTTCCGATTCACTAGATATCTGGACAACGTGACTCCCACTGAAGAGAGGCTGAGCAATCCCGGCCGGACTCTGGCCAACGGGGAGTAAATGAGGGCCATGCTTTAGCTGACTCGCCAAGCCGCTCCCTCCCTATATTAAAGATAATAATAAAAATCCTTTATTTGCCAACTGCACAAGTATGGGTACATTAGAATTCTTCTCCTTGCCTGCCCCATCTTGCTTGAGGGTCACAGCACAGGGTTAACCAACATGCATCACCCCTGGAGTTGGGGGTTAAGGGCCTTGCCTGAGGACCCATGGACATGTGACTGTCCTACTGAGGTCAGGGCTTGAACCAGTGACCTTCTGATCGCAGGCTTACCCCACCCAGCCACTCATCTATCACCTTTGTAATAAAAAAATAACAACCTATCTTCGACAGCGAACAACACCCCCCCCCCCCCCCCCCAAATATCTGCCAGAGAGCTGCCTCTCACACAGATCAGCGTAGCCCTGATTCTGAAAGTGTCCTGACTCTCCCCGGTGCAGGTCTTATATGCCCATTCAGCATACATGCCCAGGCAAATTCATTCCATTAATTAATTATCCTGGGTTGTTCCATGCCTTGTGCCCATAGATTTTGGGATAGGCTCTGGACCCCCTGTGATCCTGAGTAGGAGAAACAGTTACAGTACATGTAAGGAATCACATTGGGCCAGGATACTGCAGCTGTCATGACCTGCTTGTCCGATCCTACCGTATGCCACACCCCCTTGCTACCTCGTGTGGAATCCCCGTGTTACCAGCTGTTTCTCGTTGTTGTTAATTCGTCCTGTGTATTTAAGTCCGCATTCGAGTATGTTTCCCCAGTCCGGTCATTAACGTTGTGTGACGTCGTTTCATGTTTCCGAGTGTTTTCGACCCGAATAAATCCCACGTTACCCAACTCCACAGCTTATGTCTTGCTTCCCTGGTCTGTGCCCCGGTGATCATGACAGCAACCAGTCTGATACATTACAAGTTTACAGGGATCAGGTTTGTCATCTTGGTTAAGCATTATTTAGTGGCTGCAGTTTAGGAGGGGGGGGGGGGGGTTGGTAAAACAGGGCTTATCACTCCGTGTGGTCTGAAAGGTGCAATGTAGTGAATCCCTCTGATTTTTACGGTCATGATTATGGGCATATTTGAGGAATGACCAGCTTTTCATTATGCATTACCCTGCTTCAGATACCCTGATCCCTGGTTCCTTTGAAAACACATTTGAAGTTTTTTTTTCTATTGTTTTAATGCCACAGCACGTAGTAACTGTGTATACATTTTAATAGAGCGATGCGGTCACTTTGCAAACACAACAAGTAAATATGCCTAAATGCGTAATTTGTAACATGTTGCATCATGGGTCATTACATCATAACTAACTTAGCCTAATTAGCGGCGATGGAAGAAATTCCTGCTTTTTGTTATATTGGGACGTTGATGTATCAGTCACGGTAATGTCTGGTAGGACAATCGCAGAAGAGAATAGCTTCCGCGTAGGCTATCCGCTAAACGTACGCAGGAGTGGGTCGGCAAAGGGAAAATTCTAAAGTGTGATTAACGCCTTTGCATCATGGCTCTCAGGATCAGTCAGTCGCCGATGTTGTGTCTGTCTGCTCGTACTGAAGTGTTTTTTTGTGTGGATGGTCAAACGCAGGAAACCTCTCAATCGTAAATGATACCTTTGAAAGCATCACCTTCCCCTCCAGAAGTGCATGATATAAAGGCAAGGAGACATTATACTTTTAGATGGGGACGCCCATTTCCATACACACCTCCCCACCTTTGCCGTTTGATTAATGCATTCTGAAAGTGGAATTTGACGCTCCCTGGATCAAAGTGGAAAACACACCCCCAGCACGGATCCTCAGGAGCCGCTCTGCTAGATGTCTTTAGAGGATAACTGTCCTTGTGCCTTAGAAGTAGGAAAGAAGAAAACTCATATCATAAAGTCAGCTTGTATTATTAAGTGCTTTCCTTGAGGTACAGTGATTCAGCATTCAAAAATGTGTTCTGAATAATACATGTATTCCATATATTTAATATGTGCTGCAATGGCTTTTTACTTCAAATATGTTTCACCAATAATGTTTTCAGGAGTTCACTTCCGTTACAGAAAAAAATTACTGTAGTAAGTTAGTAGCGTTGTCTATGATTTTTATAGAACCTATAGGTTTGGGTGCTATAAAGGATGCAGATGTGGTCGGAGGCTCCTGTAGACTAATATTCCCCTCCCCAATAAAACTGCGCTAGCAAGACCCTGAGGAGAAACAGCGCTCATTAACGTACGCAGACTGACTCAAAGGCTCTTCCATTTATCTCACTTACCCACGCTTACACACTACCACACTTCGAGTGTGCACGTGTTGGCGTGCGTGTTAGTGCAAGTGTTCAAGGGTGTAAGCCAATAAGTGCAGTATGCCAGACATGCACTTTGTCCACACTTTGGTAAATACCGCATGGAAGCATCTTTCGCTAAGCATATATTCCCCAACGCACTGCATCACTGATGACTAATGTTTACATTGAAAACCAGGAAGTCTGCCGGTTTATCACTGCCCAAGGTGCCTCCTGAGATGTTTCAGTGTTTACATCACCTAGGCGACAGTGAAGGGCAGCCTCAAACAGAACCAGCACAAATGACAGCAAAGTTCTAGCGTATCTCGTTTTCCTCTTCAGATATCAAGTTCCCAGTGTTTTAAAGAAATCCCTGTGCACTTGGGCTCTTTACATACACTTGCGCACTTTGTGTCATATGTCAAAGTACGTCACCACAGCGTGTAGTATATGTAGTATAGCTCGCCTAAATGTGCTAAATGGGATGCAGCCAGAATATCAATGGAACGTAAATGGAGTCATGGCTTGGATAGCCTACTAGGCCCGTCTCCCATGCAGGCGCGTGATTGGCCAAGAGGGCTGGCTTTTCACTGTCCATTAGGAAACAGCGGTGGGTCCGCAGAGCAGACAGCAGGAAATGAGACTGATAAGACCTTAATGGAAGTTTTGGAAAGCTGAATGCCATCAGCATAATGTTTATTACTGTCAGGTACATAAAGAGAGCGCATTTTCAAAATCAAGAAATAGGATTCAAACCCAAGGTTGCCCCAAGATAAAAGCCCACTGGTCCACTGCCACCTAGAGAAATGCACTTAACCCTGTTGTTTTTGTACATAAATGCATGCATCCATTTTACCGGCGTCTGACGCGCATGGTTTTGCCTGTATGGTTCTGTGAATTCCCCTTGGGCATGTGTCTGCGTATAGGATTGGTGGACACATGCTTGGAGCCCTAAACTACAGCTTCAGAATATAGTGACGTGTATGGAAGATTCCTGATCGTATACCTGCTGCATTAGCTAAATCACTACATGGTGTTGAATTATGCACTACGGACAGCTTGAACGAACGGTGCGGTGTCACTGCCCTCCATTTAAATGAAATACATACCGGTTCCAGTCCTGCAGCTGAATGGCTTCTGTACTGGATCCTGTCAGAATGTGTTCTGGGACTTTCTGTTTTTGACTGTTTTTGGCACCTTTTTGCACAGATATGGTCATTTTTTTTAAAAGTAACATAAAATAAGTATATTTTAATTTACAGAACAATTTTCATGCAATTTGACTCCCTTTATTAATGTAGATATATTCTTAATATTTAGCATGTTTTCAGCACAGTGTTTTGCACACATTCAGGGACCTGCAGCTGCCTCATTACCCCTCAGCTCTCATATGCCCTTCCGATTTACAAATTAAGCACTGCATGCACCCATGTAAATATTACAGATTAAGAGGATATAACATCGCAAAAGCAAGCGTGTTAAAATGTTCCAGCAGTGACTTAAAACTAAGGGAACTGCACAACGCAGGGAAATCAGGGTAACATTAACAATGACTGGCTAACAAACGGCACAGGCACTTAAAAACACATAGAGAATCAGCACAAAGAAGGGACAGGTGTAAATCATAATCAAATTAACCAATTAAGGAAGGCACAGGAGCAATTAAGGACACTAAATAACCAGGGAAACTAGGAGAGGTAGCAAACAAACTAAGAAACATAGGAAATACAAGGATAACACTAGGGAATAATTGGACCATAAGAATATGCAGGAATGATGACGCACAACAGAAGCAGGGTAAACCTAAAACAGGGAAACACAATTAATAATAAACACTAGGACACAGAAAATGAACAGTAAGCATCGAATAATAGGTGTATAGTGGTGAGGGTGATGCTCTCCAGCCAGCCTCAAACAGCTTGCAAACTGCTCACCAAAAACCTGGGAAACACACAAGTCCTGATGGCTACAAGAGGGAGGAGGGAACAGGACGGCCAGCAACACCTGCTGGCCAAACGGGGACGTTACACGTAGGGCAGGGACAAGATCAAAGCCAGTGTGCAGAAACGGGAACCCTGAGTAAATGTGTAAGTAAATTTCTCG